CGTTCACAGTTTCCACCATTTTCCTAAGCTCCTCTTTTTTTTTGTCTGTATCTGCTCTAGAGTCATAACGATGTCTTTTATTTTTTTGGTACAGTGGAATTGAACTTGGGTCCTTGTGCTTACAGGGCAGGTGGCGGAGCCACTGAGCTAAATCCCTGGCCCATAACCATATCTTTTATTATGGTCACCATCTGTGTAGTTATCTGAAAAATTATTTCTGATTTAATTTTTTTTCTAGAGCCTCATTTAGCTGCTTTGTTACTTCCTCTATTACCACTTCAGAGAGTCTAGATGGGTAGATTTTGAATTGTTCCACCTCATTGCCCCCTGGGTTTGTCTTTGATGACCTGAAAGTTTGGGTTGAATCTTGCCTAAATGTCTTCTCATTTTCTTTCTTTCTTTTTTTGTTTTAAGTTTAAGTCCTGAAGTTGATGCTTGTAGATTGCTTATGGCAAGTAGCTTTGTTGCTAGTATTGAGAACCCTGAGGAAATGACTGCTTCTCAGAGATGTCTTCCAGGTGTAGCTGGCTTTTGGATTTTAAGTCTGTTTACAGATCCCACTTCTTCAATTTGTTGGGTATGAGAAATTACTGGCTATTTGGCCTAGACCTTGGTTCTTTGGCTCTGGCCTATAGTATTATTTATGACCCTTAGACAATCTCAGTCTTGGCATATGAGGAAGAACAACTGATTAGACTAATTAAGTCACCTTGGCTAAAGTAGTACAATGAGCAATAACAGTAGCATCAAACATAGCCTAGAAAATGACAAACTGTGGTAAGTATTAATTTGTCACCTTTAACCGTATGAAGTATATTTGCGGTTATATAACAAAATCTGAAATGAACCAGAAAATTGTATACAGTAAATATGCCTCAATATGTTGATTTTACACTCAGGGAATAAAATTTTAAAGGGGTTGGGGGGAAAATAGAGAAGCCAAAGAAGAGGAAGATATTAGAAGCAAGGCTGGAGGATGAAGAGTATGTGAACTGATGAAGAAAATAGGAGGGAAGGAGAGAAGGAAGAAATTAAGACAAGAACAGAACCAAACAACACCAAAAAAGTAGAAACAATGTTCACACTCATATAAAAACAAGAACAAATAATCGGAAAAATGAAAACGAATCAACACAAAAAGAAGAAAAGAAAAAAATGACCATTTAAGGGCATGTCTCTGCTGTCACTGACAGACAGTGTGGGCAAACAGAGCCCAGATCCATATTGATTAATCCCAGCAAGCCAGCTGTAGATTTATGGTAGGGTAGTGGATAATCCCAGCAGGTTGGAACTTTAGTTCCACTGAAGTTCAGAATGGTTCTGGCTGTGAAGCTGGAACACAATTTGTTCAGCCTGCAACACCCTGCTGCCTCCTGCCAACTTGAACTTGGTTCCCTGTTGGCTTGGATTCTGCTCCTTGATTTCCTGCTATTTTGAACTTCGTTCTGCCCCACCCTAATACTGAGAGCCACTAGATGGAGCTGCTAGATGGAGCCGGATGGCAGCTGCTCTGAGCTCCAACATTAGTTGGCCCCTCTTCAAGATGGTTACCAGTGGATTGCCGTCTCCTGAGAGGTGTCTGAACCTGAATAACTCAACAGCCTCTGCAATCTGCTGTGTCCACTGCTCCGCTCTAGTAGTGTGTTTCTCTGTAGAGGCCTCTAGGGTTGCCAGTAGCTACTATGCAACTGCAGCTTTGAGCTGCCCCTCCCACACAGTGAATTAAGGCTCAAGGAGAAAGCACCCCTTACCACCTCCTTCTTCTGTGTTGAGGTCTCTCTCTTAATTCTCCCTGTGGGCTTCAATTTTCACTTATCCTTGCTGGATACTGGGGACCCACTTCCCTCCTTCTTCTCTTCCATGCATAGCTATATTCCAGCATCTGGACACCAAATCTCAGAGAGGCTATTTCTCTGCTGTTCACCACTCTGCCATCTCCCCAGAAGTCTCCCCAATATATTTGTTTTAGAGATTTCAGTCCATGCTCAGCTGGCTTCAAGGCAGAAACATCATATTGGAAGGGTATATCAGGTGAGCGCTTCTCAACTCATATTATCCAGGAAGCAGAGAGCAGGGGAAGCGCTTCTCCAGTGTATACTTTTAGTCCTTTTATAAAAAAGCAGATGGCTGAATGGACTGAGGTTGTTTCTATGTTTTCTATTATATTCCATTGTTCTACATTTTCAGTTTTGTGCCAGTCTCATGAAGCTTTGTTTTCATTACTAGAGCTTCATTGTACAACCTGACCTTTGGGATTGTAATGCCTCCAACTTTGCTCTTTTTGTTCAGGATTAGTTTGGCTATTCTGGCCTCTTCTGGTTTCATATAAATTTTATGATTTTTTCTTTAGTTCTTCAAAGAATGTTGATGGTATTTTTGTAGTATCAGCAATAAATCTACATATCACTTTTGGTAATATGGCTAATGTGAATATTAGGTCTGCCATCTTTCCGTTTGCTAGTGTTCTCCTCAATCTCTTTATTCAGAATACTATAGATTTCAAAATAGAGGTCTATTATCTCCTAGGTTATGTTGATTATCAGGATTGAATTTTTATGGTACCACAAATGGGATTGTTTTTCTAATTTCTTTCTCCTTGAGTTCATTATTGTATATAAATGATATTCATTTTTGTGCATTGAATTTGTGTCCTGCCACTTTGCTGAATTTATTAGCTATAAGATCATTTTAATTCTTTCCTGTTAATATATGGTCATGACACATGATATTTTTCATGATTTTCATTCTATTTGCTAGCATGTTGTTGTGGATTTTTGCATCAAGGTTGGAGAAGGATATTGGTTGACTAAGGTAGTTTGTCAGTGTTGTGTGTGGTGTTGAGTTTTTGTCCAATTTTTCAGGGTGATGCTGGCTTCAAGGAGTGAGTTGCCAATGTTTCTTCCCTTTCAGTTTCATGGAAGAGTTTAGGAATATGGGCCTTAGTTGTTCTTTGAAGCTCTAATTTAATTCAGTGGCCAAATCTGTCAGGTCTTGGGCTTTGTTTAGTAAGTAGAATATTTATTACTGCACCAATTTCTTTGCTTGTCTTCTCTCTTTGCCTGGTCCCCTCAGGATTTTTATATTTTCTTGGTTCTTTTTTGATAAGTAACATGTATGTAGGTTTCATCCTTTATTTCCAGGTTCTCCAATTGGTAGAAATATAAATTTTCAAAATAGTTTTTTATAATTACTGGATTTCAGTGGCATCTCTGATGGCTTTCTCTTATTTCTTTCTTTCTTTTTTTGGTACTGAGCTCTTATTTATTTCTAATTGCATTGATGTGGGTCTTTCTCTTCCCCCTTTGGGTAAGTTTGGCAACTCTCAACTCATTCATAAATTGATCATTTGTATTTTTGTATTCTTAATTTCATTGATTTTCAACCTGGATCTTTAATATGTATTTCTTGTTACAATTTTGGGGCATGGATTTTTCTTATTTTTCCAGTACCTTGAGATATATCATTAGGTGACTTATTTGGGATCACCTAGTTTTTCTCAGTCAGCACTCAGAAGTATAAACTTCCTTCTTAGAACTGTTTTCATTGTGTATCAGAGGTTTTGATACATTATATTTAAATTGTTACCTGTTTCCAGAAATTTTTAAACTTCTTCCATGATTTCTTCTCTGACCCTTTGATTATTACTTTGCAAGAATGTATGATATAATCTCCATGTGAATTAAATTAATTAATACAATTTTTTTTTTTTTTGGTACCGGGGATCAAACTCGGGACCTTGCACTTTCGAGGCAGGTGCCAGAACCACTGAGCTAAATCCCCGGCCCTAGTCTCCATGTGATTGTTTAGTTTTTGTGATTTCTTTCGCTGTTGATTTCTACTTTAATCCCATTATGATCTGATAGAATGTAAGAGATTATTCAGATTCCTTTGTATCTATTCAGACATACTGTATGGTCTGAGACACTCTATTTATTTATTTATTTATTTATTTATTTATTGGTACTGGATATTGAACTTGGGACCTTGTGCTTGCGAGGCAGGCAGTGGAACCACAGAGCTAAATCCCCTGCCCTGAGACATTCTATTTTGAAGAAAGTTCTATGGGTGTTGGCAATAATGTGTATTCTGCTGTTGAATGAAATATTCTGCTGGTATCTGTTAAATCCATTTGTTCACTGGTGTGGTTCAACTCTGATTTTTTTATTGATATTTCATCTGTTTGACTTGTCTATTTGTGAATGGGGATATTAAAATTCCCCATTATGATTGTAATGGTGTCTATCTGTCCTTGAGTGTCAAGTAGTTTTTGCTTTAAGAAATTGTGTCATGGATATTTAGTACATTAATATTTACAACTGTTACATGTCTCTGTGAATTGCTCTCGTTAACAATATGTATGGATTTTTTTTAATACAATGACATATTATTTTCCTTTGTTTTATTTTGTGGTGAGAGGAGGTCTTCTAGTTCAGACTGGCCTTGAACTCACTGTGTAGGCCAGGTTGACCTTGAATTTGTAGCAGTGCTCCTGTGTCAGCCTCCTGAGTGCTGGGATCATAGGCTGTGCCAACACTCCTGACTCTGTGGTAACCTCTTTTGGCCTTTGTGAGCAGTTGTAGTTTGAAGTCCACTCAGTCAGGGATTGGAGTAGCTACTCCTGCTCACTTTGGGGCTTTGGCTGCAGAGAACATGGTTTTCCATCCTTTCACCTTCAGCGAAAGTGTGTCTCTGCAGGCAGCACAGTGGTGAATTTTGGTTTTCATTCAAACTTGTGGTCTGTATCTTGCCCTTGTGATTCTTAAGGGACCATGGTGTCTACTTTCTGTGATGGCTGAAGTGAATGTCCATCCCTCTGCTAGAACTCAGGATGGACAAGGCATGTGGTCCTTAGAGGGACACGTCTGGGAAAATGTCTGGGCCATTCAGGGGAGCTGGCCTCTCTCATTCCGTCCTTGCTGTGCCCTTATTCCTCATTTAGAACTGTGATCAGCCTGTTTCTGAGTCCTGGTCTTTTTTCTGTGCCCTGGCCCTCCCTACAGGTCAGCTATGCATCCACACTACCCAGCCTCAGTGACAAGACCCAGTTCCCATCCTTCCTGCGCACCCGTGCCAGTGACCTCACGTCCTCCTATGTTGTCACCCAGCTAGTGCGACACTTGAGATGGTCCTGGGTAGGCATTCTGGCCCAGGATGATGACTTTGGGCACCAGGCCGGCACTCTGGCCACCCAGGAGCTGGGTAAGGCAGGTGTTTGCATCGAGTTCCACCTGCATGTCCCTTCCCTTTAGTCCACTGAGAAGATTGATGCCATTGTGCAGAAGATGGAGCAGAGCACAGCCACAGGGGTCTTGGTCTTCCTGAGTAACTCCAATATTCAACTCATCCTGCGGAGGCTGGTAGGCATCCGTGTCCTTGGCCAGGTCTGGGTCAGCGAGGGCCTCCTGCACACAGTGATTGCCCTGGCCACACCAGGTGCCTCCTGGATTCTGCAGGGTGCATTTGGTCTTAAGCTGCACAGTAGCCATGCACATGGACTCCCCGAGTTCTTTGCCCACCTGCACCCCAGCCGGACCCCTGAGGACATGTTCCTGAGGAGGTTCTGGGAGGCCACCTTTGGGTGCAGGTGGCCACATGGTAATGACACTGTGGCGAGGGATGTGCAGCTCTGCTCAGGCAGTGAGAGTCTGAGAGGCCATGAGTTTCCTTTCCAGGATGTGAGTAGAGTGGATGCTGCATACCCAGCCGTCTACAGCATTGCCCGTGCCCTGCATGACCTGGTGTCTTGTGAGCAGGGAGATAAGGCATGTGAAGATTCTAGGCACTTCCAGCCCTGGCAGGTGAGCAGGGTCACAGGGAAGGGAGGAGCCACAACACTCTCAGTACAACTGCTGAGGTGCCCAGTGATGGCACCTGTCAGGTAGACACCTGTGCCTGCAGCCCAGAGGGATCTGGCAGGAACACTGGACCAAGAGTGTCAAAGCCATACTGGCTGTGTGAGCTCAGGTGCATTCCATTCCTATGGGGTGGCTTCATTTAGCATAGACTGGGTGCCTCCTGAAATTCGAATTTCAGATCTTCCATGAACAGATTTTCTTGGCTAGTGTCCCAAATTTGAGTTTTTGTGACCAATAATTGATTTATGATAAATACATGGCCCATATTTGAATTTAAGATAATTAGCAAATAGCTTTTAGTGCGTGTCTCATATGTATGAGATATCCTAGTACCAATGAGTCTTTTTCTTTTCTTTTCTTTTTTGGTACCAGGGATCAAACTCAGGACCTTGCGCTTTCAAGGCAGGCACTGGAACCACTGAGCTAAATCCCCAGCCCTCCAATGAGTCTTTTTATAGCACAGTGCATTTAGCCCAGGGGTGTACTCCTAAGGCTCTAGGCCCACAGCTCAATTTTCATTTCATTTGAGATGGAGTCTGGGTAAGTCTCTAAGTTGCCCAGGCCTTCTCATTCTCTTGGCTGTGTCAAGGGTCACTTGTTCCCTTTCCCCTCTAGAGACCAAGACTGTGTGCACAGCTGTTGCCTGGCCCACCTTGACCTCAGTTATGGAGAGAGGCCCCTGCTAAGCTGCTCTCTCCAGGAATATTCCACAACCTGGAGGCCTCCCCACCACAGATAGCCATGCCTATGTGTCCCTTACCTCCTGGTCCAGTCCTCTCAGGGCTGTCCCTGTGACTCTCCAAGCCAGTGTCCCCAGGTGATGCTTCACTGGAGCTTTCGTAGGTGTTCTGAGAGGAAGGCTCACAGGCAGGGCCTTCTCTGAGTTCTTTCTAAAGAACCCAGTGACTGGGGGCCCACATGGCACTGGAAAGCAGGCTGCTGGCCTAGGGAAAGCAGCACAAGTGTCTGTAAGGCTTTGATTTATATTTTTTATTTTTTGAAAAAGAAGAGGAAACTGCTCTTTATTCACAGATGATATGGTTGTGTGGTTCTAAAATGCCATTAACTCTACAGATAAATTTCTAGAATGGGCAAGTTGAATTCAGCAAAGATGGATGCAAGATAAGTAGGAAAATTAAGTTTTTATATAGGAGGAAAAATCAATTAGGAAATAAATATGTTAAAATTACTACTTATAATATCACAGGATAACTTCAAATATCCAGGAACAAAATTATTTAAAGACATCCAAGACTTCTATGATTGAAAACTACAGAATACTACCATGAAAAATTTTAAAAGACCTATCTACATAGAGACATATAAGAGCAACATTTCAGAGATTGGAAGAGTCAATATGGTTAGGATGTCATTCCCCTCAAATTGATCCATGGATTTGATGCAATTCCATAAAATGTTAGCAGGTTTTTTCATAGTATACATTTTAAATTAATTTTATTGTACACTTTAGATATATATGATGATCATATTGATCATAGGGTATTTGTACCTGTGCATAATATATCATGACTCTTCTTTTTTCCCCAATCGCCTCCCCTCCCTTCAATTCCTCCTCACCCCCTTATTTATTAAAGCTTTGTTCCCAGTTTTTCCTTCTATTTTCCTTCCTTTTCTTGTCCCTTCCTTTACCCCTCTTCCTTTCCTTGTTCCCTTTCCCACTTGAACATTTTCTTCCTATTTCCCAAGACCTATTATACATTTTGGTTCTTATTTTTCTTTTGTTTTCTCATACCAGAGAAACCATGCCATATTTAACTATGTATGCGTGATTTATTTCATTTAAAAACATGCTCTCAAGACGCAATCATTTATTTATAAATGTCTCAAGTTTACCCTTCTTTGTGGCTGAATAGTATTCCATGGTATGGAGTACACATCTTTTTCCACTCATCAGCTGATGGGTACTTGGGCTGCTTCCAAGAATTAGCTATAACAAACTATGCTGCTATAAACATGAGTGTGCATATATCCCTGTGATATGATGTTTTTAATTCTTTTGGAAAGATACCAAGAAGAGGAATAGCTGCATCAAATAGAAACTCTAGTGTTAGTATTTTGAGGAATCTCCACATTGATTTCCACAGTGGTTGCACCAGTCTACACTCTCACCAACAGTGGAAAAGTGTTTCTTTCTACCCACAGCCCCACCAGCATTTGTTATTGGTTGATTTTTTTTATAATAGTCATTCCTCCTAGAGTGAGATGAAATCTTAGTGTTCTTTTAATTTGTATCTCTCAAATGACCAGTGATGTTGAACATTTTTCCATATCTTTATTTGTAGTTTCTACTTCTTCATCTCAGAAGTGTCTATTCATTTCAGATGCCTGTTTTTGTATTGGGTCTTTAAATTTGGGGGGGTTGATTTTTTGAGTTCTTTATGTATTCATTTGTCTGAGGAACATCTGGCAAAATTTTTCCCCACTCTCTGGGTTGTCTCTTCACTCTATTGGTGGTTTCTTTTGCTGTGCAAAAGGTTTTTAATAAGATGAGATTCTAGCTGTGGATTCTTTGTCATATTTCCTGTGCGATAGGGGTTTGGTCATAAAGTCTTTGCTTACACCAGTTCCTTCAAGAGTTCCACCTATTCTCTCTGCAGCAGATTTAGTGTTTCTGTTTTAATATTTAGCTCATTGATCCATTTCAATTTTAGTTTAGTGCATGGTGAAAGATATGGGGCTAGGTTTAATCTTCAGCATGTGGAAAGCCAGTTTTTCCAGCACCATTTATTAAAGAGGCTATTGATTTTTTAGGGCTGACTTTGTGTCCAGACATGCTACATAATTTGATTATTAGATCTAGAAGTCTTTTGGTGGAGTTCTTGGGGTCTTACATGTGTCTGTACCATGTCCTCAGCAGATAATGATTAATTTAAGTTCTTCCTTTCTTACCCTTATTCCTTTTATTTCTTTCTCTTGTCTAATTGTTCCAGCTAATGTTTCCAGGACTATACTGAATAAGAGTGGTGATAGTGGACATCTTTATCTTGTCCCTGATTTTAGAGTGAAAGCTTGGAGTTTTTGACCGTTAAGTATATTGTTGGCTGTTAGTTTGTCATGGAAGGCTTTTATTAGATGGAAATAAGGACCATCTGTCCTAATTTTCTCTAGGGTTTTTATCACGAATGGTTATTGGACTTTGTCAAATGCTTTTTCTGTATGTATTGAGATGATCATGTGGTTGTGTCTTTGGTTCTGTTAATATGGTGAATTATATTTATTCATTTGCATGTGTTGAACCATTCCTGCGTCCCCATGATGAATCCTACTTGGTCATAGTGTATAATCTTCTTGATGATTTGCTGCATTCTGTTTAAGGCTTAGATTTTTAGCCTTCCCCTTCATTGTGAGATGTCTGCTGATGCTGACATGCTGCCATCTGATGGGTGGGAGGATAGGGAGGTTCCAAAGGGCATCTTTTCCACCTACTTACTGCACAGGTGGACATCCTCTGCCTGGAGTGGCAAGATATCTGTTGGGAAAATGCTGCTGGCCTATAGTGGAGGCTGAGGCAGGAAGGGGACACTGTTGTGACCTCCACCCTGATTAAGGGGTACCTACCGGTTGGGGGATAAGAACACGTGGCTCTGGGTAAATGGACAATGAGGGCACCTGGCTGTAGGGCAGGGCAGAGATTACCAATCACAAGGACATGATGTCTGCACGCTGTGGGGTGGATGAGGGGTGGGAATGAGTGGAGAGCCCAGGTTAGATCTCAAGGAGGATGCATCTGAGATCCAGCCTGCACAGGAAGCCACTGCCACGGGAGGAGAGTGGTGGCCCAGGAGCAGCCCCTGCCAAGGCCTTCCAAGAAGAGCCCAGGCAGGGCTGCAGCTGGGCTGAAGGCAGCGGCTGGGCTGGGATCAGGAGCACAGAGGGCAGAGCCCTCTGTGGATGCCACGCCTGAGGATGCATTGAACTCTGAGTGGGACAGGAGGCTCTGCATGGAACAGAGCAGCCATGACGGTCCTGGGTTCCTGACTTCATGGAACAGATGCGGAAAATTTAACTGATGACTGCCTTATAATGATAAGGGTGATCTGATTCATTACTACATGTGGCTCGCTTTTAAAATTTCCTTTTAATTCTACAACTGAAAGGTGGAACATTTTCTGGCCCCGGTGCCCCACGGGCTCATGGGCCAGTTGGTGCTGCCTGGAGGTCAAGCATCTGTCCCTGAGCCAGGGCCCTGGCCAGACTACATGTCTCCCTCCTTCCCCAGCTCCTTCACCCCCTCAGGAAGGTGTGCTTCCAGACCCCTGATGGGACCCACATCATGTTTGATGCCAATGGAGACTTGGTGACAAAATTTGATGTTATCCAAGGGCAGCAGAGCCCCGAGGGCCACTTCCACTTTGTCCACATTGGCACAATGGAGCCTCATCCCTCTTTGGGGGACAGGATGATGATTCACTTGAAGGCTGGTGTCCAGGTAAGTCTTCTGGGTGCACAGATGGACCCAGGCCTGGGCCTTGGAGTTGAGGAAACTCAGGCCTGAAGTTCTTGTTTCTGTTGGAGGCATGAAGTGGATGTGGATATAAATCTGGCCAGTAGTAGCTCAGCTATGCTGTTTGTGCATAGTGGACTCTTCTGTGAGGGGGGAAAGGTATTTACTCACCATCAAAACTAAAACCCTTGATGTGGGTATGGTGGTGCACACCTTGCATTCCAGCTTCTCATAAAACTAAGGCCAGAGAATTGCAAGTTGAAGACCAGCCTGGGCAACTTAGTGAAACCTTGTCCCAAAATTGAAATGAAAAAACATGGTTGGTGATGTTGCTTAGGGGGAAGGCTCTCAGTTCACTTTCCAGTAGAGAGGGGGAAAAATAAGAAAGAAGAAAGAAAGAAAGAAAGAAAGAAAGAAAGAAAGAAAGAAAGCAAGCCACACTAGTTGAGTGAATTAGGTCAGCAGCAGGCATCAGTGGCTTTCTCCACCTCTGTCTCTGGGTCAGGCTCCTGGGCACCTGGGAGGTCAGAGCTCTAACTCCATGACTGTCCCAGGCTGCACTGGGGAGGCAGAGCAAGCTGCTCCCGTGACTCACTGACATATGTTCCCATTATTGGCATTGGTGCCCAAGGCTGTTCTGACCCAGGACCCACCCTGTAGCCTCCTCTGCAGGCTGGGCTGGCTCTGTCCCTATAGCCTAAGAGTTTTCTCAGGAGATGGGGTTCCATCCCCGACTCCTTCCTACAGGAATACAGCTGTATGTTCACAGGACTTGCGGGCCTATCTGAGGTTCTGAAGTGCAGCTTTCATTTTCTTCTGAGGAGCATAGCACCGATTCTTCTCTCCATGGTATCCATACTACACGCTATCCATAGCCACTCCTGCTCTGCTACTCCCTGGAGGTGGGGCCTGGGCAGAGGAGACTGAGCCGTGGTTGCACAGGTCCCACTGTGAGGAGGGAAGGTGTGCATGTTCATGTGTGTGTATGACGTGGTGTGGGCCCAGCACCTGAGCTCCCATGTGGGACACAAGAGCAATGGAAGGGCTCTGAGCACAGGGTTTGGTGAATGGTACCACCCCAGGGAGTCAGGCGGGCCTCTGGATGGGTGCTCACTCCCTTGTGGGTGGTCCCTCTATGCCTGGCTCCTAACAGCAGAGAGGACCTTTCCCTTGCATGCTCTCCAGCGTAGAGGGAGGGCACCACCCTGCTCTCTGCTAGGTGAGGCCATCTCTGGGCTTGGAGCAAGCAGGGTCTCTATTGTCACTCTACACATTCTGCCCAGGTGCCCAGCTCTGTCTGCAGCACCAGCTGTGAGCCAGGATCCAGCCAGATGCCTCGACAGGGAGCCCCCCACTGCTGCTTCGAGTGCCGGCCCTGCCCAGAGGGACAATTTGCAGACCAGAGAGGTAAGTGGGAAGCTGCTTTCTGGGCATCAAGAGCAAGCTGCCCTTGAGTCTCCACTCACATAGGGTGCTGCAGGGTCTCCACTCTCTGGGAACTTCCCATAGACCCTGGCTAACATGCCACTCTCCCACTTATTCTCAGGCACATGTGTCCTGAACTGCACGCCCTGGACAGCCATGGTGGGGAAGGTGTCCCATGAAATCCTCGCTTTGTGGGCATTCTCCTCTCTGCCTGTCCTGCCACAGAGTGTTCTGCTCTAGAGCCCCTGGCCCTGCCCAGGTCCCCACATTCTAACCCTCAGGCTTGGTTTAACTTCCTGTCCATGGACAGCTTGGTGAGGTCCTTGAGCAGCTCATCTCTTCTGCTTTCTCTTTGTGTGATATCCACTCCAGTAGGTGTGTGGTAAGAAATCCCACGGTCTGGGGTCCTTATGCCGGAGAAATGCATTTCCTCCCAGCTTTGGAGGTAGAAGTCTTTGTGTCAGCAGGATGGGATTCTCGAGTCCTCTCTCATGGATTTGTAGGTGACCACCTTCTCACTGTGTCCCCTTGTGTCTTCCCAGGGTCCCAATTCCTTCTCCTTCAGAGGATTCCAGGCATGTTGGATTAGGCCCAAACCAGTGACCTCATTGAACCTTAATTACCTCATGTCCAGTTTTCCTACCTGCAATTGCAAACACCTTCTTGTGTCCAGGAGATCAAGACTTCAACAAATAAGCTTTGCAAGACATAAAGCAGCCCAAAATATTTGTAATAAATCAAGGACAAAATCTTCCAGCCCAGCCTGGGCAACACAGTGACTTAGGGAAATGCTGTGACAAAATAAAATCTAATAAATGTGCTGTGGAGGTAGCTCATCCCAAAGGGTTTGGGTTCAATCTTTTGTATAAAAAGAAAACAAAACATTATTTAAAAACCACACAAATATATAGAGCCTGCATTTTTCCTACTGCCTCTGACTCTGATGCCACCCGCACTTCAGGGGTGACTAAGAATAACCCACAGATATGGAAGAACGTGAGCTCTTCCTAGAGGCCCTGGTGCAAAAAGAGCCCTTCCAGGGCTGCTGTTGTGCAAGATGTGTGCCCAACACGTGTTCTGTGTCTCCCACAGACATGAAGAGCTGTCGCCAGTGTCCCAAGGAGCAGTACCCAAGCCAGGCCAGAGACCGCTGCCTTCCCAGGACAGAGACCTTCCTGGCCTTCGATGAACCCCTGGGCCTTGCACTGACTTCGGTGGCGCTGGCGCTGGCCGGCCTGGCCTGCCTGGTCCTCGGGGTATTCCTGAGGTTCCGGGACACACCTGTGGTCAGGGCCAACAACAGGGCCCTCAGCTACGTGCTCCTGGTGTCCTTGGCCCTCTGTGCCCTGAGTCCCTTGCTGTTCCTTGGCTGCCCCTCACCCACCACCTGCCTCCTCCGCCAGACCACCTTTGCTGTGGTGTTCACTGTGGCCGTGTCCTGTGTCCTCGCCAAGACCCTCACTGTGGTCCTAGCCTTCAGGGTCACTAGGCCGGGACAGAGAATCCGCATGTGCCTTGGGCCCAGCACCTCCTCTTTTGTGGTACTGGGTGCCTTGGTGGTGCAGGTCGTTCTCTGTGGGATCTGGCTGGGCACCTCCCCACCATTCCCACACAGTGACACAGCCTCAGAGGCAGGCCGCCTTGTGCTCCTGTGCCAGGAGGGCTCTGGTGTCGCCTTCTCCTGTGTGCTGGGCTACCTGGGCCTCCTGGCTGTGGGCACCTTCTCTGTGGCCTTCCTGGCCCGGGGCCTGCCGGATGCCTTCAACGAGACCAAGTTCCTCACCTTCAGCATGCTGCTCTTCTGCAGCGTCTGGACGGCCTTCCTACCCCTGTACCACAGTGCACGGGGCAAGGCCACCGTCGCTGTGGAGGTCTTCTCCATCTTGGCCTCCACTGCAGGACTGCTGGGTGGCCTCTTCCTCCCCAAGTGCTACCTCATCCTGCTGAAGCCTGAGAGGAACACGCTGGCTGGGTTGAGGCCTGGAGCCTGGGCTAAGAGTGGATGTGGCAGTCTCCTGGGAATGGGAGTCCCTCCAGGCCTTCAGCACAGTACCAGTTGAGCCCAGCCTCACTGACTGCAGCAGGATCCTGGGTGCAGGTGCCTGGTTCCTGTGTTGACTGAGGGAAAGGTGAGGATTGAGAGTCCATCAAGTGATACATGGATAAACAAGTGTGATCTATCCATGAATTAAATAGTATTTGAGAATAAGAAGGAACGAAGGACCAATGCATGCTACAACATAGATGAGCCTTAAAACTGTTATCCTGAATGAAGGAAAGCAAATGCAGAACACCATGTGGTGTAAGATTCTAGTGCTAAAAGAAGAAAAATTCCAGTCTGTGGCATATCCCAGAGGAGGCAGGTCCCATGGAACACTGTAGAGTAGTGTTTTCCTGGTGTTGGGGGAGGGAGATTTCAGGCCCCTAAGGAATAGTGCCTTTTTTGGCAGGATGATGAAATTATCAGATTGATTTTGGTGATGGTTGTCCAATTGTGTGAAGGTAGTAAAAACTATTAAATTGCATACTTTACATTGGTGAATTGCATGTATGTAAATTATATTTCAATAGTATTGTATAAAAGAAAAAGTATTGCCAATTACAAAGTTTGGCTTTCAGTATCTTTGATTTTTTGGAGTTATTTTGACAAAAAGAAATAATTTCATAAACATTGATGTACACTAAAAAACTGCTAAATGCAATGTCTAAGAACAATGAACAATAGAAAATAATTCAACAACAATAAAAAGAAAATAATTCAATAATAATAGCATAGTATCAGGTAAATATGTATGAATTCATAAAACTTCATAATAGTAATATGGAGTGGGCAATAGGAGAATGAATGGAGCAACTTTTTTTTCATTAATTTTATTGGTACATTTTAGATATACAATACATTTACATTCATCATTGGGAATTTGTACCTTTACATGAGTATCTTGGTTCTTATTTTTTCCCCATTCCCCTGCCCTCCCTTCAACCCCTCCACTCCTCCCTGTTTATAAAGACTTTGTTTCTGCTTTTTTCCTTATCTCATATTTATTCCTTTCCCTTCTTTCCTTTCCCCTCCACCTCCCACTTCCCCTTCCCCTTTGATCTTTTCTTCCTATTTCACATTATCTTTTATACATTTTGACCCTTATTTACACTTTCAATTTCTCACACCAGAAAAACTATTTGGTATTTACATGTGTGTCCTACTTATTTCACTTAAGAGTATTGCTTCAGTGTGCATCCATTTAGTTATAAATGTCTGTAGTTTCTCATTCCTTTTTTTAGTTTCTCACTCTTTATGGCTGAGTAGTACTCCATTTTATAAAAAAAAACACATCTTCTTTATCCAGTCTCCAGTTGATGGGCATTTGGGCTGTTTCCAAGCTTTAGCTATTACAAACTGTGTCACTATAAATATGGGTGTACATGTATTACTGTGTTATGATTCTTTTAGGAAGATACTCAGCAGGGGAATAGCTGGGTCAAATGGGACCTCTAGTCCTAGTTCTTTGAGGTATCTTCATACTGATTTCCATAGTGGTTGCCCCAGTCACACTCCCACCAACAATGGAGAAGGGTTCCTTTCTCCCCACAGCCCGGCCAGTGTTTGTTATTGGTTGATTTCTTGATAGCAGCCATTCTTTCTGGGGTGAGGTGGAATCTTAGCGTTGTTTTCATTCCCATTTCTTGGATGACCAGTGATGTTGAACATTTTTTCATATGTTTATTTGCTGCTTTTACTTCTTTGTGTGAGAAATGTCTGTTCATTTCAGGTGCCCATGTTTGGATTGGGTCTTTAAATTTGGGAGGGCAATCATGAATTCTTGATGAAGGAACTTTGATAAATGCTGTTTCTCGGAGGAAGCAGCTATGTTGGGGAAGAGGCTGGGCTCCGTGTCCAGTCTAGCTCCTTTCCAGGCTGGTGGACCCTCTAGCTTGATTCTCCATCCTCTCCTCCCAGCAATGTTGGGTGCCAGCCCAGAGCGACCTCTGGCTGTGCGCCTCGCTGCCCTCCGGGAACAAATGGAGCAAGTTTTGAAAAATACACAAAAGGAAGATGAGAAGGAAGAAACAAATGTGAGATAAAGTATCCTATTAAGGAGTAAACAAAAGTAGATGAAAGCATCAAAATGGAACAAACAGAAAATAAGAAGGAACAAAAAACAGGGAACAAAATAAAGAAGAAAAAGCACAAAAATTAAAAAGAAAAGAAAAGAGAAAACCCTGTATCCCCCCAAATTAATAAAAAAATGAAATGAGTCTAAAAAATGCCTCCTTTTTATGTTTTCATTTTTGTTTACAGATAGAAAAAATTAAGATTCTTACACCAATGATCTCAAATGAGACCATGCAAACCAACAGATTAAATACAACAGTCATCTCCTCCCCTTCAGGTTTTCTGCAGTATACAATGGTGCGACTGACAGATAATTGGATGGCATGTGCTTGGTTGGAAAATATCATCTCTTTACAAAAATAACATGCAAGGCAGTTCCTACTTTGTCTGAAAGTCAATTTATAATAACTGCCTATTTTCTGTTTTTATAGAAGCAGCATGGAACTGAAATTTAGCTGCCTAATTTTACTCAGCTACCCTGCAAATAAGCACAAAGGTCACCACCAACACAACAGACTTCAGAGAACTGAGAGAGCAGCCATGATTCACCTCTGGTCGATCCAACTGTTTAGGCCTGGAAGTGCTGGATTTTTTTCTCTTAACTCTCCTTAGGACTGTCCCTTTCAATTTTGCCAGACTGGGTTTCAGAAGAACTCATGTGAAATTCATGTGCAAAAACTATATTCTGCTGTACTGCTGGGTAGCTTCCCAAAAGGAAACATATGCGCACCCATGTTCATAGCAGCACAGTTTGTAACAGCTAAAACTTGGAAACAGCCCAAATGCCCATCAACTGGAGACGGGATAAAGAAGACACATTTAAAAAAAAATAAAATGGAGTACTACTCAGCCATAAAGAATGTGAAACTAGAGCCATTTATATTATATTAAATGGATGCACATTGAGGCCATACTCTTAAGTGAAATAAATAGGACACACGTGTAAATACTGAATAGTTTTTCTGGAGTGAAAAACTGAAAATGTAAATAAGGATCAAAATGTATAATAGGTAATGTGAAACAGGAAGAAAAGGTCTAAAGGGGAAGAGGAAGTGGGAGCAGTAGGGGAAAGGAAAGAAGGGAAAGGAAAAACATATGAGAAAAGGAAAAAATGGAAACAAAGTCTTTGTAAGCAGAGAGGGGGAGAGGTTGAAGTGAGGGCAGGGGAAGGGGGAGAAATAACCAAGATATATCACGTGAAGGTACAAATTTCCAATGATGCATGTCATCATATTGTATACCTAAAATGTACCAATAAACTTAATGAAAAATAAAAAATAAAAAAATTTCAAAGCTATATTCTGCTGTAGTATACAAATTTTTGCTAATTGTATGGCCTAAAGACAGTTGGTTTTGCTAAATAAATGGCACTGAAGAAAATCTTGACCCAGGTGGCAATACTTATTCTAAATGTTTCTGACCAAAGAGAATTATACAGTATTTATAGTCTAACTTAAGAGATGGCTGCCAAACTGTAGGTTTTTACATGTCAAATATGTAGTCTGAGAGTTTATAAAAGAAGTTCATGTATTATTACCTCTAAGAATATCATATACAAGAGAAATGCCCCTGTTATGGCTGTGTCTAGCTGTCCCCCCAAAGCGTCATGTAGTCATAGGTGGGGCTTTGTAAGAGGTGACTGGATATTGAGTGTGTGACAATGGGATCAATTCATGGTGCAATGCTAGGATCAAGGGCACTAGGAGTAAAGGTGTGAGTGCTGCCCACCCTAAGTAGCCTGGATAAGATATAAGGAATAGAAAGAGCTGTGGTCATCCCTTGCTTGCTTCTGCTTTGCTATCTTCTGCCCACCATGAACTGTTTTTCCTCTGTGATGCCACCCTGCCTTGGAGCCAGTCGATTATGAACTGAAACCTCTAGAAACTGACCTAAATAAACCTTTCGTCCTTTAACTTTGAGTGATGGTTATTTTGTCTCAGCAATGAGAAAAGTAACAAAGATACCCCCTTAAGTTCTTGTGAAAGCATTTCAGGTGAAAACAGCCTTATATACAAAGACAATCCAGTTTCTCTCTTGTTAAGTATATGATTTAAAGAAATTTTAGAGACTGAGAAAATCTTAGTCCATTGGTGATTGGTAGAAAATGTTGATTTGTGATATTTAAATGATTTCTTTAAAAAAATACCAGCATACATAACTTTTGTACAAAGGAAAATATAGGAATTCCAGATGGCCATGTCTGATCACACTACATAGCTTAGAATGGAGCATCACCTGTTGAAAGTTTCTCTATTCATTCCTTTGCCAGCATTAATTTGTGAACTAGCATTTATATCTAGTTCAGCTGAATTTATGGCACAAGATCCCATTTTCAAAATGGCACCAATTTTCCTTAAATGTAAGGACTCCATTTTTAGCAGCAATTATATCTCTAAAGGTTAACAATTTATACAGAAAATATTTTAACTTTTTCTACTTTGCACTCACCACTTGAAATATTTTTTAAAATTAATTTTATTGGTACATTTTAGGTATACAATATAATGACATTCATCATTGGAAATTTGCACCTTTATATAGTCTCTCTTGGTTCTTATTTTTTCCCCATTCCCTTGCACTCCCTTCAACCCCTCCATCCCTCCCTATTT